ATAAATTTTGCTTTATGCACTCGCGTGTGCAGTAATTTTGACAGTTATGCTATTTTAAATTCCCAGGCGCCTAAAATCTTTTGTCTTTAAAACAATGTCGATTTCTTGGGAAATTCCGAGGTTGCGCTTTTTTTGATACACCCTCACCCTGTATAAAAAAACCTGAACCCTATCAAATTCAAATTAGCTATATAAACGTATTGTAGTAATTTGACAGCTCTAATTGCTTTGAATTAATGGTTGGCGTTGGGTAAGAACACAAGGACTTGTACTCACGGGACAAACCGCAAAGAAATAAAAAATTTTATTTATTTCAATCCAGTGGTTAGGATGTTCCATTGTCTTTTCATTGTTTTGACCTGAAATCCTACTATTCTCCTTGCAATCCAGTCCAACTCATTGTTCGAACTTAATTATCATGTATAAGCATGTGTGCAAAGAGCCCGTTCTTCATTAAATTTTATTAATTTGGTAGCAGTTAATTACTGTGTACGCGAGGACACTACAGCATAATAATGTCTTTATTAAAGCAAAACAAAGTAAAGCACACTGAGTCACTGATAAGAATTATTTTTTGGCCTCCTAGGCCTATAGCAATCTGCATGTCATTAAGATACGCTGGTATAAAAGCCGGGTATACACTTCAAAGGCAAAGCCACAAGATTAATTAAAAGACCTTTGCTTGGTCTTGAACTGTACTTTACTGTGCAGAAATCTTTTGTCTCAATTTCATTAAGTATTATACTGCTTGTCACAAGTTGTCAACAAGTTTGGACAAGCTGTTAACAATTTGTAACAACCTTGTTGATATTATCAGACTTGATGCAAGGTTGTTCCAACAAGTCCACTACAGTCATGATATAGCAGTATTGTTACAACCTTGTGTCGTCAACCTTGCAACATTCTTGTTTATCATGACTGTATCAGACTTGTTAGGACAACCTTGTAACAAGTCTGATAATGCCATCATGCTTGTTACAAGTTGTTAACAGCTTGACCCAAACTTGTTACAACAACTGGGAACAAGCATTGCGAACACAACTTGTTGACAACTTGTGAACATATTTGTAACAACTTGTTTGCAGACTTGTAACAACTTGTGCGTTTTTACGTGTGTAACTGAAACTACAGTTAGATTCACTATAATAATTTTTTAATAATTAATATGCAGTTTTTGGCAAGTCAGCAGATGCGAGGGTCTATGAAGAATGCGGAACACAATACAAATACAACAAAATTTATTTTTCCATTTACTTTTATTGAAAAATAATTCTTTACATTAAATTTTAATTTATACCTCTAAATATTACAATCTGAAATGTTATATGCATATATTGAAAAAATTTTGAGCATAGAAATGATATAATTCACATGTTTTAAGAAATAAAGGCCAGCGTATATTTTATTATAAGAATTGTAACACAAATGTCATTATAATGTTTTTATCAAATAAAGCCGAGTCGGGAGAAACCAGCTTAGATTCTGAAGCGAGGGCATTTTGCCTTTTTGGATTTGACTGAGAAGTAGTTACAACATTGGGAGTATCTTGCGTCATAGTAGAAGTAACCACAGCAAGCATGGTGTCGTTTCTTGGCGTGAACTTTACCACAGCAACAGATTTGTGTGGAAGGATTATAGATTTGATTGCCACAGTCTGTAAAGGTAAAAATTAAGCATGTTTTAAAAGTCAAAACAACGAGGTGTCTCTCAATTTTACATTTAATTGCCTCAAATACAAGACTACTACATATATATGAAAAGTCAAATATTTGATATACTCAAAATGTATATTTATACAAATTGATATACTTACAGAAGTATGGACAATAGGCGAAGTTGTATGCGCATGCCCAGTTTCCACCATTTTTACACGTACTAAAATACACAAAAACACCCATAAGATGAAACTTTTGTAACTTTATTTATACGGGATAGCTCTGTCAGTTCTAAGAGTAATTACCTTTTATTAACTAATCTAATGTTACCACAGGAGGAGACCTAAACTAAACTAACTTTATTTATACTGGATAACTCTATCAGTTCTTAAACTGTTCTCCCTAGAGGTCCAGTAAGAACCATCTCTTATTGGTCCAGTGTTACTACAGGAGGAAACCTAAACTAAACTTACATATATTTATACTGTATAGCTCTATCAGTTCTAAACTGTTCTCCCTAGAGAATCGCTCCTTGTTGGTCCATGCAGTGGTCATTTAAAGAAGAAGATAGATTTCAAGTTATTTTCTTTATATTGACCTACCATTTCATACAGTTACATCGAACAGAAGCTCCAGGTTTGAACCAAACAGCAATACCGTAGTGACACACTAGAAGAGGTCCAGAAAACACCAGTTATATATAATTCTCTATAGTTCGGACTATGTAAGAACTGAATAACTATGGCCAGGGTCTCCCAGGGATTTATATATAGGGAGCAAGGCATATTTTGCAATGGAAGCAAGGCCAAGAAGTAAGCTTGGGAAACAAGGAATATATGATGATATCAAGGGAACACAGGAAAAATTTGCAAGGAAACACAGACACTCCTGTGAGACTCCCATGCAGTCTCCTGTGAGACTCTCAGTATGAAAGATTAAGTGGGTAGGTAGATTGGAGTAAGCCTGGTTCACATATGTCTGCGGTATGCCTGTTTACAGTCGTTGATGCATACATTCTTTTGTGAATTATTTGAACTGCTTACGACAATAGCCCGCCGACATACCACAGGTATACATATGTGAATCATGCAGACTGTAGGTTATAGGTAGGTAGGTAGATAGGTAGCTGAGTAGATAGATGTGTGTATGTTGTCTAAAGATCTCTCCATCATAAACTTACATCCTTTGTTTTTAATGGTGTCAGGATCATTTTCTACGAGAGCCATTGAAGTTTCAGTGTTCATGTCTTCCATGACCATTTTTGATTCTTCGTCATTTGCTGTTTTTTCTTTCTCAGGCGTTTCAGTCTCGTCCTGCTGACTCTCTTCGTATTCGTTGAACTCATCTGAAATTAGAAAAACATGCTCTGGTTATCGTTACATGCCGTGAGAGAAGACATATTTCAACTACTCACACGAACAGTATACAAAAAGCCATGCTTAATTAAATGATCCAGTATTGCCACAGGAGGAAACTGGAGAACTTAGAGAAAACCAGCAATGTCTAATACGAACTAGAAGTACCCTTCTAACATGCGCCTGAGGTAAATCATGAATCTGGAAACTCCTGGAGTTCCATCAAGTGAGTCGGTAATAACTTATTGCATACAGTGTTACCACAGAACGTCAGAAGGAAACCTGAACTAAGTTTATATTAAATATAGTTTCATCACTTCTGAACTGCCGGTTCTGGGCGCTATGTAAAAGTTCAAAAAGGTCCATAATTTATTGGTTCAGTTGCTATCACAGGAGGAAGCAAGAGCACCCGAGGAAAACCTCTGCTGTTTTTGTAGAGTCGAACTGCGAACACTCTTCGTAAATGGATGGTACAGCATACATGCATCCACTGTGTCAACAATACAATGTCCATGGACAAGTCGATTACATGGATACCCCAGTAAGACGCTATAAAGTTTAACAATCTTTTTTAATTAAACCTACCTGGTTTAGCCATAGCGAGACCAGCCAAAAGGACCAATCCAAAAACGAAAAGCAATTTTGAATTCATGTTGTCAATTCTTTTTTACACGTCTTGCTTTTAGTTCAGTGTCACGATGAGAATGATTTTCAAGCTGCATTTTGCCTCCTTTTATACATACACAGTGAAATCTCGCCGCCCACTCGACAAAAGTGTCAACAGTTAAAATCCTTTCATCAAACAAAATATGTGAAACTCTAACCAGCTCTTTCTTCCGCTGGAAAACGCCAATATTATAATTATTGAAAGTTTTCTCACTTAACTCTGTGTACGTCTTTGCCTGACGTAAAGATATTGAAGTAGTTTTCCTACAAAATTCAAAGTCTTTACATTTGTAAGACAATGAAAGTCCTTTCTAACTCTTTGCATGGTTTACCTTCCCAGTCAAGATTCCATGCATCTAATTTCTTAACATAATACTGAAAGGTGTTTGAGTTAAACTAATCGAGCCTTATTTACACTGGATACCTCTATCACTACAAACTTTGATCTCTACCAGAGGTAATTCCTTAATATCAATGGTCTAATGTATAAAATATATATCCCGTATAAAAATGTTCTAGGCTGTTATCATTATATAATTGGCATGTCTTACCAAAAAAGTTGTTTAAATATGGTAGAAAACCCTTTCTGTAAAAAAGTTGATTGACTTTTTTTGCATGTTTAATTACATAAAGTTAATTCGTTTGGTCTGGATTTCCTAGCTGCTGTTACTGGGACAATAAGGGATGACTTTTACTGGGCCTCCATGGAGAACAGTTTAGAACTGACAGAGCTATCCAGTATGAATAAAGTTAGTTTAGTTTAGGTTTCCTCCTGTACTAACACTGGATCAATTATTGAAGAGTTGATCCTTACTGGATCTCAAGGAAGAACAGTTTAGAACTGATAGAGCGATCCAGTATATATAAAGTTAGTTTAGTACAGGTTTCATCCTGTAGTAACACTAGATCAATAAGAGATGATCCTTACTGGGCCTCTAGGAAAAACAGTTTAGAACTGGTAGAACTCTAGTATCCAGTATATGTAAAAATGTAAGCATTAAATAAACATTAAGTTTACACATGGACCATGGTACACACAATTGGATTTTAAAGCTATGACGTAAAATTGTTTTAGTGTTTTGGATACAGAAGTACAGCTCTGTTGCTTGACAAAGAACCTTTAAACTTATTGCTTTCATTAATTTAAGACTTTGTGATTTGTAAGAGTGTGACTATTATAGAAGTTCTAAAGTCTTTGTTTGACTTATACATAGAGTATGGGGGAAGATTTTTTAAACAAGTAAACAGATCATTTTTTAAACAGGCAAACAGATAACTTTTTAAACAAGTAAACAGATCATTTTTTAAACAGGCAAACAGATAATTTTTTAAACAAGTAAACAGATCATTTTTTAAACAGGCAAACAGATAATTTTTAAACAAGTAAACAGATCATTTTTTAAACAAGTAAACAGATCATTTTTTAAACAGGCAACAAGCACAATATTCAATAAAGTTCATTCAGAGTGTTCCTGAAAAACTGCAATACAGCTGTGTTCGAGATTTGGCTAAGTTTTAGAATATAGGCAGATATATTTCTGTGTCAGTAAAACACATGTCTATAACTGAAAAATTAGTGAAGATTCAGTTGCCGATAATTATCGTATTGTAACAGAACGATAACACAAATATGTAACGGTCAAGTTGGGCGTCACTCTGCTTTGAAAATCACGTAGCCACGCTTAAAACGTGACACATTTGAAGCCAAATCAAAATCAAATCAAATGTTGTATTAATAAATATATAAACAATCTGTATATACATTACTATCCGCTAATAGCGAAGTTAATCGAGGCGGATAGTAAAATTAAATTAAATAAGACATGCTCAATGTATAATAAAGTAGCCCAATATACTGACAGCACAAAACACCATTGTCACATTAAGGAAGCATTAATTTCCCATATTAATTTCCAAGGAAGTACTATTTCCCATGCATGGCCTTCCTCATATATTTAATTAATGTGGGTACATCAAAATAATCGTCCTCAATCTCAAATATGGTTAAAAGACTTTTCTGAACTTTCAAATTGAATTTTTTTCTACCCAGCTCTCGAACATCATTGGGAATACTATTCCAAACTTTTACCCCTCATTTTACAAAAGATGTGATCGTTGTAGTTAGTTTTGAGTATTCAATATAGTAGTTTTTAGATGCACAATGTCTAGTGTTATAAAAATAGTGCTATTTTATTACTTTATTCGCATAACCTATTTACAAGGTATTGCTAAAGCTAGCTTTCAATAATATATTACATAAAATGTGATTAACAATATTAATAGGTTTTATATCTATTTTACTTTACTTTACGTTATAAGTATGGACGTCCTTTGATTGGATAAAACAATCAAAGATTGTAGATGAGCAGGAGCTATTTGAGATATCGTACATTAGATTACAAATGGTTTTAAAGTAAAGCATTTTTAAAAGAATTGGAATGAATAAAAAAGTAGAAGTCCAAAAAAATTCAAAACTAACTTGTTTCACGTTTCAAAACTGATAATTGTGGTCAAGCGAGTGGCAGTGTCGTGTAAAAAAGAGAAATATATTTCAACCTTGCATGCAATGATAATATAGCTAGCTGAGCATGCAATTATTAGTATTTATTGTAGTACCATTGTACCAATTTCCCAAACCAAGCACAAATGGCATATGCGTTCAGTATCATGACATTGAGGCGGGTGGGGCAATTTGTTTTTATAAAATTCTTTCAAGGTCTAACATCATAAAGATACAGTTCTCCTACGTAATATACAGGATTTTACACTAGTTTGAGTGTTACTTCTTTTTAAAAAGGCTTCTTATAGTTTTATGACTAAAAGAGATAAAGACATATGATATATAGTTTAAATAAAATTTGGGTGCGTGCGGACACGAGATATATTATCAGCAGAGAAGCTCTTATCCTTAGGACGTTATAGCTCTGTTTAACAAAGAGCTTGTACATACAAAAATCTTTGTTTGGTAAAGGCTTTTGAACTTTTACATGTGAGAACGAGTTGGGCGTGTAAAGGCATGATGTGGTTGCACGTCTTAATTTTACACTTTAATCCTTTAAGTGGCAATATGCTCTGATGCGCCCTACTTTGTTATTTTACTCTGTCTAACGCCAGACGATTTTACTTGTCAATGTTGAGAGAGTGCCTCGATGGGTGAATGAGCTGTATTTTCTATTTGGTTTTATTTCACTCTGTGTCCTCTTGAGCCTTTTTCACTACAGCAATTCCAAGCGGAACAGGCAACCAAAGGTGATACATTCTTAAAGTGGTTCCATGTGTTTGAATGGCGCTTGTTTTGCTCAATGATGATAGAATAGCTCCTATGTAAAGAGAAATATCAAAAGACTATCTTTGCATGAAACTGGATAACTCATTTACAGTCAAAACGGATGTTCTCTTGCGAGCAACATTGCAATAATGTCCCACAATATTGCAATTTTGATCGGCAGATTGCTCTGGGCAATTTGAAAGTGACGCGAACAAATTGCAAGTTGAAATTTGTAAACAGTGCTGATTAAAGATGAGTCGTTTTTCAAGCCATTTAAAACACTAGTAGTGTGCTTTATCAGATATAAGACACTCGGCTGTGCCGTCTCGTGTTTTGTATCTGATAAAGCAACTAAGCAAGGACATATTGTTAGTTGTCCGGAAATACTTCCGGCCATATTGTAATTTTTCCGGCCACATACGGGAAAATGTTTCGGTAATATTTTCGTAAATTTTGATTTTTACAATATTAATTGTAATATCTTGATTTTGAAAATTAAAATGTATATTTTTGTATCTTTTAAATTTTTAATTTCCAATGTTTAAATTTTAGGGGTCCACGACTATTTACGATGGATTTGTTTAAAAAAAACAGTATGCTTAATGATGTAGGTTAACTTAACAAACGCACCTCATCTTTGGAAAGATTTTGATGAAAAATAGCAAATTTAAAGATACACAACCAGGGACGCTGGAACTGGGGGGGGGGGGGCAGGAGGGGCAGCCGCCCCCTTTGCCCTTTACCAGGAGGGGCAAGGGGGGCAAAGGTGCCCTTTCAATTTAAAGGATTGCCTTGGCGAAATTGTCAGAAATGTTGGTGCGATTCTTTTACGAATTTGCTTCAGAAAACGCAAGAAATGCCGTCATCGAGCTTCAAGAATAGCACAATCGCCTGGCGGAGAACCCCCTCACACCCCTATCATCCAATAAATATAGAAAACATGATTAGACGAAGTTCAACTCCCGATGTTTTGCAAACATCTCTTAGTATATATCAATTCAAAAGTGCCCTTTCACGAAAATCTGCCCCCTTGCCTTCACATCGTTCCGGCGTTCCTGTACACAACAATTACTGATATCTCATTATATACGTAATTGAGTAAATGACGTCGCATGGCTACAAACAAAATGAAATATCTCAAGAACTAAGCATGGGAGCAAAAATCTTCAAAAAAACAAGTTACTATTACAGTTTTAAGAGCATTTTAAAACTAAAATTTTCATTATTTTTTGTACACAGAAATTTTTCCAAAGGCCAAAAACTAACCGGAAAAATCTGACCTCATCTTGAGCTACGCTTGATACCCCCTGGAGATATAATAACAAAAATATAATATATAGATATAATATCTGCCCTTGCATAAACACTTGAAGATGACACTAGTATAAAATTTTTAATATTAACATATAGTATAATGTTGTGTCATGCTGGCTAAGAGACGCCATTTGTTGTCTCACTTGTCTGCATATTATACAACATTTTCCTTCGTACAACAAACCCAAAAAATGTCTTCAGACAAAAATTACACGCCCACAACGAACTCCAAAGGCGAATTCGTTCGGAAAGATTCACAATTTCGTGACCGCATCACTGCAGATGGTTCGAGCGGATTCAAAGCGGAAGCTAATCGTTATCATCTATATGTGAGTCTCGCTTGTCCATGGGCTCACAGAACTTTGATAGTTCGCAAGCTGAAAGGCCTTGAGAAAGTCGTAAGTTTAAACGTTGTGGATTGGATTTTGGGGAAGGAAGGCTGGAAATTCGACCCAGGTATTTAGAAGTGAAAAATGTAAACACAACTTTATATTGATGACTGATTCAGTATTCACTATTCCAAAACCGAAAGGGTTATAGGATTTATATATTGAGAGAATAAGAGTCACAGTAAGGAACGGTTAGGCTGAGTCACTGAGTGGCCTGCTACCAAGTGATTTCATGGGCTAGTTATGGAAATATTTTCTCTGGAGCAGAATATGTTTATATACTTGGGAGATTACTTCTCGATCTACATCCGATCATACAGCTTCTACATGGCATGACCTCTGAATTTTTGTTGACCTCTGAATTTTCTTGCCAACACTTTTTGTTGCTCACCAATTGCATTGGCAAGATTTGTTTTTTGCTTTGCTTCACGCAAACAAATTTGTCTGGTGGAAAATGATATACATCATAAAATACTCAATTAACCAGCTTACCTAGTTCATTGGCATTGCAAATAACCCTGACCTCCTGCAAATTACACTCCAATAGCTTTTCAACCTTTATACACTTAGGAAAGCCAGGGGCAACACCAGACACTGTGAACAACTTTGGTCACCTGAGCGAGGTCTATGCCCTTTCTGATCCGGAGTACGATGGTCGCTGGACCGTACCAGTTCTATTTGATAAAGTCCAGAAGAAGATTGTCTGTAATGATTCTGCTGAAATCATACGCATGTTGACGCCAGAATTTAACGAATTTTGTAAAACGGTGCAACAGAGGGAATTAGACCTTTACCCTGAGGAACTGCGCAAAGAAATCGATGAGATGAATGATTGGATTTATCCGTAAGTATGATCATGTGCAAGAGGGGGGCGGCTACCCTATAAGAGACACTCTAATTCTGTCTTTGGTCTACTAATTTGGAAATCTGGTTATTTCAGAGAAGAGTTTACTGAACATGGTTCAAATGATCTATTCTTTTCTATGCTGAAGACTTGCAATTTTTTTTGCCAAATGGAAGTGTGAGATGTTGACCACCACCAGTCCACCACCATTATCATCACCATTATCATGATCACTACATGATCACCACCACTATCACCATCACCATCATGATCATCTCCAGCCTCCAGGGTCCACCATCATCATCACTATCATCATCACCAACATCATTACTATTACCAGCACCAACATCATCACCATCATTACCATCATCAACATCATCATCATCACCACCACCATCATCACTATCATCAACATATCATCATCACCACCACCATCATCATCAACATGTCATCATCACCACCACCATCATCATCAACATCATCATCACCACCACCATCATCATCAACATATCATCATCACCACCACCATCATCACCATCACCAACATCATCACCACCACCATCATCATCATCACCACCATCATCATCAACATATCATCATCACCACCACCATCATCACCATCACCAACATCATCATCATCACCACCACCATCATCAACATATCATCATCACCACCACCATCATCACTATCATCAACATATCATCATCACCACCACCATCATTACCATCACCACCACCTTCATCATCACTCCACCACCATCATCATTATCGTCACTACCATCATCATCATCACTACCATCATCAACATCACTATTCTCAACATCACCATCATTATCACCACCACCATAACTACGACCATAACCACAAAACCATCATGTTACTATGTGTGTTACGAAGTGACTTTTTATTTCTTAACAGCACAATCAATAATGGTGTTTATCGCTGTGGCTTTGCATCATCGCAAGAGGCTTATGATAGCGCTGTTGTAATTCTCTTTGAGGCACTAGAAAAAGTATGTTTAATTAGCATCTAGCATATTGTCAAGAATCGTAACAAAACTTGACAGGGACATGTTTAGGTTTTGAAAGGCTACGTTTACACTATACGGAATAGCTTTCCGTAGCGGCGCGAAAAAGAACCTAGCTATCCGTTTGGGAATGTACAACTTTCAGAAGCTGAGCAAAACATCTCTCCGTTGGCGTTGCAATAATTCCTCTGAAGATAGCGTTCCTAAAAGGTACAGATAGGTGTCTTTTCACGTCGCTATGGGAAGCTATCCTGTACAGGGTACACGAACCCTTCACTGAAACAAATTGAACAACGAAAGATCGTCCTTACTGAATCTCTACGGAAAACAGTCTAAAACTAATTTTCTGGATTAACCATAAAGTGATGGTCCTCGCTGGACCTCAAGGAAGAGCAGTAAAGAATGGGGTATTATAGCGTTCACCTACAATTATTATTTTGCGTCTCTTTTATACTAGCTTGAGAATATTTTATCAACACGAAGATATCTGGTTGGCAATCGATTCACAGAAGCTGACGTCCGTTTGTTCACGTCTTTGATTCGATTTGATGTTGTTTATCACGGCCATTTTAAGGTGCATAAATCTTTGAAACTTTTTTCATAAAGCTTGTAGTTGTAATACTGTTCTTTAGCTTGCTGATCGTCAGACTAGCAGTTTGGAGGTTACGGGTCCAAGTTCTCAACGCGAACTATTTCAACAAGCAAAAACAACAAGTGAATACTAATACAGTAAAACTCTGCTATCTCCCCAAGGGAAACAGAAACTTTCGGGGTTCTAGATAACCGAATCAGTGTTAAATTACAAAAAATGGTTAATAAGTATTAATCGGCATAACCACCATCACCATCATCATTATCATCACCATCATCATCATAATCACCATCATCATCATCATCACCATCATTATCATCATCATCATCATCACCATCATTATCATTATCATCACCATCATTATCATCACCATCATCATCATAATCACCATCATCACCACCACCATCATCATAGTCACCACTATCATCATCACCATCACCATCATCATCATCATCACTACCATCATGTTATCTGTACATTCTTCTCCAGAAATCTTGTTGAATCTTTCATTTTTACATTCTTAGTGTAACAAGAAGAGAATAATCGACTATCCAAATATTTGGGGCTATACTCGAGATATTTATCAAATTCCCGGCGTTGCAGAGACATGCAATTTTGAACACATCACAAAATCTTACATGGTAAGCTGGTGTCATGATAAACAGTGTTTTACAGTGAGATGCAGTTTTTGTGATTTTTAAAGATTTTGCAAAGGTCTTGCATAACTTTTTGAACGAACCTTTGACCAGCACACTAGACCAATTTTAATATTCTTGACTAAGGTCCATTTCCACTGAGGAAAATTTTCCGCAGAAAAAGAATTTTGTAAAATGTGATTGGCCGACACAAATTTTCCGTCGGAAAAAAACTTTGAAGTTGAAAATGTTCAACTTTTTTATAAAGCAATGATATTTTCGGAAGATTTTCTGTCCGTGGAAATTTTTCTTGAGTGGAAATAGACCTTTAGACTTTAGTGTCAAAATTCATCTCTTTGATTAGATTTTCGATGCTCAGTAATAGCTAGCTGTGTGAAAAATCTAGAACATAGCTCAGTATTGCATTTTTTCCCGGACACCCTATATACTAATATTAAATATGACTACAGTATTCATACTTTTTAATACTTAAATAATGCGAATGTTTACTACATTTTCTAGCAAAGCCATCGCAGCATTAATCCACATGGCATTGTTGCAATTGGACCAGACCTTGACTATTATGCCCCACATGGCCGAGAAGCGCTTGGACAGTAATGCAATGTGAAATATAGCTTTTAGCCTGGTTATTTTAGCTAATTGCTATTGTTATTTTAGCATTAGTTCAATACGTACATTCATTTTTTGTTAGCAGTAAAATTTGATGATTAAAATTGACTGCTTAAAGATGCGGTACACTCCGTATGTAAACAAAGGCTTTGTTTACATTTCGGTATCCAAAATATTGAATTTTATTCGACAACTAGTTATATTTTCATGATTCTAGAGTATAGTATATCTATAAGACACAACATGCAGTCAAGCTTTGCAAGAACATAAAATGAAATAAAAACCTAAATAAACTGTTTGTATAATAAAAAGAGGGCTCCTTTGTGCACATGCGCAGATCGGACTGTACAGCATCTTTAAATCTGGTCTCAATTTGATTATGTAACTCCGGACAACAGAACTACAGCCTGTATGGCCCCTTACCTACCCTCGTCCCCAGGGCCAGATTTAGGCAGTGGCGTAAGAAGGGGCCCTTTTGCCGCATTGGGCGTGGGAAACTATCTTGCAACATTTGAGACCTGAGATGTCTTTATCAGGGGTGAAAAAAGTATCGGACCAGCCCCGGAACCAATGGTCCTAGGAAATGCTTTGAGTCCCCGGAGAATATTTCCCCAATGGAATATTTCTTCTGTGAAACACATGTCTATAAGTATAACTGAAAAATTAGTGAAGATTCAGTTGCCGATAATTATCGTATTGTAAAAGAACAATAACACAAATATGTAACAGTCAAGTCGAGCGTCACTCTGCTTTGAAAATGACGTAGCCACGCTTAAATACAATTTCAAAACTAACATGTTTCACCTTTCAAAACTGATAATTGTGGCCAAGCGAATGACAGTGTCGTATAAAAAAGAGAAATATATTTCAAAACCTTACATGCAATGATAGTATAGCTAGCTGAGCATGCAATTATTAGTATTTATTGTAGTACCAGTGTACCAATTTCCCAAACATCATAAAAATACAGTCTACGTAATATACAGGATTTTACAGTAGTTTGAGTGTTACTTCTTTTTAAAAAGGCTTCCTAGTTTTATAACCGAAAGAGATAAAGACAATTTTGTTACAGTTATAATAAAATTTGGACGTGCGGACACGAGATATATAGTATCAGCAGAGAAGCTCTTATTCTTAGGACGTTATAGCTTTGTTTAGCAAAGAGCTTGTACTCGCAAAAATCTTTGTTTGGTAAAGGCAGTATTTAACTTTTACATGTGAGAATGAGTTAGGCGTATAAATGCATGATGTGGTTGCACGTCTTAATTTTACACTTTAATCCTTTAAATGGCAATGTGCTCTGATGTGCCCTACTTTATTATTTTACTCCGTCTAACGCCAGATGATTTTACTCGCCAATGTTGAGAGAGTGCCTCGATGGGTGAATGAGCTGTATTTTTTATTTGGTTTTATTTCACTCTGTGTCCTCTAAAGCCTTTTTCACTACAGCAATTCCAAGCGGAACAGGCAACCAAAGGTGATACGTTCTTAAAGTGGTTCCATGCGTTTGAATGGCGCTTGTTTTGCTCAATGATGATAGAATACCACCTATATAAAGAGAAATATCAAAAGAGTATACCTTTGCAGGAAACTGGATGAACTCGATTACAGTCAAACCGGATGTTCTCTTGCAAGCAACATTGTAAATAATGCTGATTTACTTCGCCAATGAACTCATAAGATGGGTCGTTTTTCAAGCCATTTAAAACACTAGTGTGCTTTATCAGATACAACGGATGCTCATGTTTGAAATGGTACATGTATTATTACCTTGTTTCTGTGAACATGGCTTGCACTGAGGATAAAATTTTTGGGATTGATAAAACTTCACAAGTTTATTTGGTGGCATGTGATCAGCTATGAAGTCGTTCTGCCTTCGTTTCCCACATGAGTGACAACCATATCGTCTACCTAAACATAACTGATTAGTTAAATATCTATATGTTACAAAGTGTTTTGATGATGGGGGTAATGGTATCAATGATGACAGTGATGATGGTGGTGTCATGATGGTGATGTCATGATGGTCATGCCATGATGGTGATGTCATGATGGTGATGTCATGATGGTGATGTCATGATGGTGGTGTCATGAAGGTGATGTCATGAAGCTGATGTCATGATGGTGGTATCATGAAGGTGATGTCATGAAGGTGATGTCATGATGGTGGTATCATGATGGTGGTGTCATGATGGTGGTGTCATGATGGTGGTATCATGAAGGTGATGTCATGAAGGTGATGTCATGATGGTGGTATCATGATGGTGGTGTCATGATGGTAATGTCATGATGGTGGTCAACCTCATACCCAGGGTTTTGGCGGAGATAAAACCCTGGGTACGAGGTTGGATGGTGGTGTCATGATGGTGATGGTGGAGATGCATGGTGGGTATCAATAAAAACCCCCGATAATGATGATGGTACTGGTGGACATAGTGATTGACAATGTGGTAGTTGTGGTGATGATGATGATAATGACAGTAATGATGATGGTGGTGATAGTAATGCATGGTGATGTCATGATGGCGGTCATGTCGGTGATGATGGTGAACATGGTGATTGTGATTGCAATCATGATGGTGGTGGTGATCAATAAACATTAAGTGATAATGTTGGTGGTGATGATGGTACTGATGATGGTGGACATGGTGATTGACAATTTGATAGTTTTTGCTGATAATATATGGTGTTTGCATCGATGATGATGGTGGTGATGCATGGTGGTGATCAATAAAAACAGTGATGATGTTAATAGTGATGATGGTATAGCGATGATGGTGGACATGCTGATTGTTGTGGCAATGATGGTAATGATGATGCATGATTATGGTGATGGCTGATTTGGTTATTATGATGATCAATGTTGACGATGATGGTGACGATGGTATTGATGGCCACAAAAATGGTAACTGAAGGAACCTGTGATGTCAAACTTAGATTGAGGCATCGTTAAATTAAATGTGAATGTAGCTGCATCATGCAGGGATCAAGCCCAGATCACATATGTGGATAACTCATCCACTACCCACAGGGTCATTGAGTACACAGTTTGTGACCAGCCAGAAGGACAGGGTGCAACAACCCCACAGTGTGTGGTCCCATACCCCTGGTTTGGAGTAAATTTATCCAGATGCACTTACCCAATATATTAATCTTCCTCTTATCAGATTTTCCTGCATAATTTTTTCCAGGGGCCGGCACAGACATCTTTGCAAATGCCCCTGGGTAAAACAAATGACTGGGAACAACTTGCCTGAATTTCCCGCCAAGAATTTTAAATACAATCAGACTTCCAACACCATAAATTAAAAAGTTATCTTCTGTCTTTGTAAGCTCAAAATTAAAACGTTTTCCCGTTGTGTTATCTGTAGTTGATAGCAGTCTGGACTTTTTCAATCTCTCGCACGACAGCACAAAAACGTCCGAAGCACAAATACCCGATAGAATGATAGAAGTGCCACCGCAGAGTGTCACAATTGTGTTTGGAAGTTTACAACTAATTCGCAAAGGTTTAAAAACGAGATTTTGCATAAAGCCAAGAGCGAATGGAAAGCTAATTGCTCCGACGGTTGTTGCTGCTAAAATCTCTCGCAAATTGTAAAAATTTCCATGTTTTCTCGAGAGTTTTTTGTCCATTTTTTTCAAATACATACAAAGTGACTTGTTTGTTTATGATTTGTGAGATACTTGGTGTAATAAATTCATAGCGTTCTGCGTTCACTTGATCAGTCCCCCCCCCCCCCGCCGTCTCTCTAAAATATTGTGGTTAATTTATAACTAGCAAGCAAATTAAATTACATTTCTAGCTTTACAATTTATAGGCTTTTGAATAGTCTCTATATTACCACATATATAAATATAAAGATTGATTTTCTTAGTGTTGGTCAACTACCAGCAGGAAATCAGGCTCTTCTCGCATGGTACTGCAACTATCTGTTGCACAATGGTAGCCAATAATGTGCATAACTTACATACAGTGAAACTGGGCACCAAGCTGCGGCAGACAATATATGTAGGGAGCCAATTGCCCCCACTGCCCTTCAATGATGACTCTTAGGGCTTGTTTGATTTTTGGTTGTTCTCTCCAAATGGGCCAGGACCCTCCTTTTTCGACAGCCATGGCATTGTTGAGAGAATGCCCAAGTGTCCACTCCGAGGGCATGCGAACAGAACAAACTTGTGAAATTGTTTTACAGTATTTTATGTTTTATTTTAAATAGCAAATAGAACAGAAACTTGAATATACGTAGTCTACGACTCTACATCTAATTACAGGAATTAAAATGTTATATAACACTGAAGATGAATATGTATTAATATTAATATTGACATTGTATTAAAATAACACCCTGCTGGCCGAGAGACGCCATTTGTTATCTGCATATACAACCTTTTCCTCTCAACAACAAACCCAAAAATGTCTACAGACAAAAATTACAAGCCCACGACGAATATTAAAGGCGAATTCGTTCGGAAAGATTCTCAATTTCGTAACCGCATCACTGCAGATGGTTCGAGCGGATTCAAGGCTGAAGCTAATCGTTATCATCTGTATGTGAGTCTCGCTTGTCCATGGGCTCACAGAACTTTGATAGTTCGCAAGCTGAAAGGCCTTGAAAAAGTCGTAAGTTTAAATGTTGTGGATTGGATTTTGGGGAAGGAAGGCTGGAAATTCGACCCAGGTACGTATTTAGAAGTGAAAAATATAAACGCAATTTATTAATGACTGATTCAGTATTCATATTCCAAAACCGAAAGGAATTTATAGGATTTATATATTGAGAGTCACAGTAAGGTCAAGGAAACGGTTAGGCTGAGTGGCTTGCTGGCGAGTAATTTCATGGGCTAGTTGTCTATGGCAATATTTTATCTGGATTCTGGAGAACAATGTGTCAATGTTATACTTGGCAGATCTACATGCATGGGCTGATCAGTGATCATACAGCTTTCTACATGTATGGCATGGTCAACTTATCACCTCACCTTATCATTTGCCTCCCCCCCCAAATAGGGCACCCCTATTTGGGATAGGTGGCAAGTACTTCCTGCATGCACCCACTTGTTGATCAGTGGTCTGCAGGTGGTTAACAAGTACTGCAATTACAATACTGATCCTCTTCATTTGTGTGATCATATGGTTATCCTTGAGTCTATGATATATATCATCATACAGGTGCACCCCTTGTAATCGGAGGCATCTCACCCACATGAGGAGGGGGGATACAAACCACTCATCCCGGCACAACCTACCTCCCTTTTTGTCGACTCGAGCTGAATTTTTGTTGACTCCGAATTCTGTTGACTTGAAATTTTTGTTGACCACTGAATTTTGACTCAAAATTTTTGTTGACCTCTGAATTTTTTTTGCTGCCCCTTTTTGTTGCTCACCAATCACATTGCCAAGATTTGTTTTTTGCTTTGCTTCATACAAATTCGCCTAGTGGAAAATGAGTGTATGATATACATTATAAAGTACTCTATTAACCAGCTGCCCTAGTTCATTAGCTTTACAAATAACCTCCCCCCCCCCCTGCAAATTGCACTCCAATATCTTTTCAACCTTTTTACACTTAGAAAAGCCAGGGGCAACACCAGACACTGTGAACAACTTTGGTCACCTGAGCGAGGTCTATGCCCTTTCCGATCCGGAGTACGATGGTCGCTGGACCGTACCAGTTCTATTTGATAAAGTCCAGAAGAAGATTGTCTGTAATGATTCTGCTGAAATCATACGCATGTTGTCGCCAGAATTTAATGAATTTTGTGAGACAGTGGAACAGAAGGAGTTAGATCTTTACCCAGAGGGACTGCGCAAAGAAATTGATGAGATGAATGATTGGGTCTATCCGTAAGTATGATACTAATTTGGAAATCTAGTTATTTCAGAGAAGATAAACATGGTCCATTGGACAGTTATTTCAGAGAAGATAAACATGGTCCATTGGACCATTTGCATTATAGACTAAATTTAGATCTAGACAAAAATTTCATCACAGCTTGAAAGAGCATCACAAAATTAGTAATATTCCAAAGTTTCGTTGCAAAATGTTGTAAAATGCGGATAATATAGCCTTGCGAAGTTTGCCGTTTTTCAGTCATTTTGTATTACGCACGGGAAATTGACAGCCAAATCGGGTGTTGGGGCATCAATTTCCCGTTTGTAATACAAAATGACTGAAAATTGCAAATTTCGCAAGGCTATAGTATATTATCCGCATTTTACAACATTTCGCAACGAAACTTTGGAATATTACTAATTTTGTGATGCTCTTTCAGCTTTGATAAATTTTTGGCTAGATCAAAATTTAGTCTATAATGCATTTAGTCTATAAGTTTTTTGGCCAGATGGAATTGAGAGATGTTGACCACTATCACCCTCATCACCATTATCACTACCACCATCACCACCATGATCGTCACCAGGGTCCACCATCATCATCATCATCACTATCATCATCACCACCATCGTCATCATCATCACCATCATCACCACAAGTCCGACAACAAAATCATGTTACTACTGTATGTGTCTTGCAAAGTGAAATTTTATTTTTTAACAGCACAATCAATAACGGTGTTTATCGCTCTGGGTTTGCATCATCACAAGAGGCTTATGATAGCGCTGTTGTAATTCTCTTTGAAGCGCTTGAAAAAGTAAGTTTAGCATATTGTCAAAAATCGCAACAGAAAACTTAACAGGGACATGTTTAGGTTTTAAAAGGCTACGTTTCCACTATACCGGATAACTTTCCGTAGCGGCGCGAAAAAGTACCTATCTCATACGGAATGTACAACTTTCAGAAGCTGAGCAAAACATCTCCGTTGGCGTTGCAATAATTCCTCTGAAAATAGCGTTCCTAAAAAGTGCGGATAGGTGTCTTTTCACGTCGCAACGGAAAGCTATCTGGTATTAGTGTACATGTAGTCTTCACTGAAACAAATTGAACAATGAAGGATCGTCCTTACTGAACCTAGAAAACAGTCTAAAGCTGATAGAGCTATCAATTCCAAATAGAGTTAGAATTTTCAGGATTAATCATAAAGTGATGGTCCTTACTGGACCTCAAGGAAGAGCAGTAAAGAACGAGGTGTTTGCGTTCACTTGCAATAATTATTTTGCATCTCTTTTATGCTAGCTTGAGAATATTTTATCAACACGAAGATATCTGGTTGGCAATCGATTCACAGAAGCTGACGTCCGTTTGTTCACGACTTTGATTCGTTTTGATCTTGTTTATCATGGCCATTTTAAGGTACATAAACCTTCCAAAACTTTTTTTTCATAAAGCTTGTTAATACTGTACTTCAGCTTGCTGATCGTCAAACTAGAAATTTGGAGGTTACGGGTCCAAGTTCGCAGCGAGAACTATTTCAACAAGCAAAAAGACCCAGTACATACTATGATACATTAGAACCCCGCTATCTCTCCAAGGGAAACAGAAATGTTCGGGGTTCAAGATATAAACCGAATCAGTGTACAAAAAAATGGTTAATAATTCACCATCACCATCATCATGTTATTTGTACATTCTTCTCCAGAAATCTTGCTGAATCTTTCATTTTTACATTCTTAGTGTAACAAGAAGAGAATAATCGACTATCCAAATATATGGGGCTATACTCGGGATATTTATCAAATGCCCGGCGTTGCAGATACATGCAATTTTGAACACATCACAAAACATTACATGGTAAGCTGGTGTCATGATAAACAATGTTATTCAGTAAGATGCAGTTTTTGTGATTTTTAAAGATTTTGCGCCTCGCCTAAAGGTCTCTCATAACTTTTAAACGAACGTTCGACCAGCACACGCTTGTCTTTCAAGCTGGGAGATCAGTGTTCAATTCTTGGTCAGACCTCTACTCAAGGTCTTAAAATAACTGAGGAGAATGTGCTATACCTTTACATTGTGCCATTTACATCATTAAAAGGTTAGACTTTCGCGTCTTCTTGGACAAGACCAATGAGTGAGAAGCTATTTTCCAGATTTTTACAGTTATTAATGGTGGGCATCGAAAATTGAATTTTGAAAATCAATTTTGAGTTTTGACACTGACATGAAACTCCTCACTTTAAACAGTCTTAACGTTCGTTATACTAGACCGATTTTAATAATCTTGATCCACTCAGGAAAATTTTCCGCAGAAAGAAAATTTTGCAAAATGTGATTTGCCGAAACAAATTTTCCGTCGGAAAAAAATTTTGAAGTTAAAAATTTTGAAGTTGAAAATGTTCAACTTTTTTAATCAATGATATTTTATTTGGGGGCTTTAGTGTCAAAATTCATCTCTTTGATTAGATTTTCGATGCTCAGTAATAGTTAGCTGTGTGAAAAATCTAGAACATAGCCTATCATAGCTCAGTATTGTATATTTTTCCACAACATCTTGTGTACTAATATTAAATATTACTACAGTATTCATACTTTTTAATACTTAAATAATGCGAATGTTTACTACATTTTCTAGCAAAGCCATCGCGACATTAATCCACATGGCATTGTTGCAATTGGACCAGACCTTGACTTGAAGGCCCCACATGGCAGAGAAACGCTTGGACAGTAGTGCAATGTGAAATATAGCTTTTAGCCTGGTTATTTTAGCTCATTTCTATTCCTATTTTAGCATTAGTTTAATACGTACATTCATTTTTTGTTAGCAGTAAAATTTGATGATTAAAATTGATTGCTTAAATCTGGTTTCAATTTGATTTTGTAACTCCGGACAACAGAACTGCATAGTACACACTGTAGGGTCCCTTACCTATCCTCATCCCCAGGACCAGATTTACGCAGTGGCATAAGGGGGCTTAGCCGCATGGGACGATATCTTGGAACATTTGAGACCCGAGATGTCTTTATCAGGGGTGAAGAAGTATCGGACCAGGAAGTATCAGACTAGAAAATTCTTTGAGTTCCCAGAAAATATTTCCCCAAGTTAAGAAAAAAATAGATGATTGTAATAATTTAGAGAAATTCAGAGGAAAAATTTAAAAGGAAACCTTTGCCCCCCTTGGGAAATGACAGAGAGGATGCCAACCATGCCCCGGCCCCTTTGGCATCCCTGGGTAAAGTCCACTTCTTGGCATTCTCAAGCAAGCATGACAATACTGGCAGCTTCTCTCTGATAATTTCAAGTAAAAATATTATAGACATAACCTTTTTAATGATATCAAATCATTTTTGAACCTGAAAACAAGGCCGGCACAATACCCAGCCAGATATTCGAAATATCCGGCCGGATATGATATCCAGTGCAACCTCAGATTTAGGTAAGGTTTCAGGCTAGGATTAAGGTTGGAATTAGGATTGTAAATTGTGGTAACCAATATGCAATTGACTCTTAATTTAATCTTATTAGTAAGTTATTATAATTATTGAATCTATTAATTATTTCCGTACATAATAAATACATATTATTTATAAGTGTCTGACTGGTTTGGGAACATAGGTAAAGTTTGTTTCAGCATTTGTGGCTGTATTTGAAGGAACGACTAAACCCATTTGCCTGGCTTCGTAAACCTATCAAAACATAACATTGAGAACTGCCCATGAATAGGTAGTTGTAATGGGCACAAAAAATACTTTAAAAATGCTTTAAAACTCAATAAAAATTCATTGTGCTACTGTGAAAATATTCTAGCATGTTTTTCTAGCTATAGGTGTTTATTATTTAAACCATGTGAGGCCAATGTTGCCTTGTGAATACGTCCATATGCCACTGCAAATCTGCATTTAATTTCACAACGCAATATTGAGCCTCGCAATGGTTAACTTTATATAAACACCTATGGCTACAAAAACAGTTGCAAGAATATTTTCACCATAAATTGTTGCATGTTTTAAGTAAATGAATACAATCTCAAAGAGTTCATATAATTCACAAAAATCATGTATTTCAGTGAAGTTTGTGGGTTCAGGGGAATGGGTCATTCCAGAAAACATCCATACCACCCCCACAGAGGAAATTGGAAGTTAACCCCCCTACCCCTTCGGATGTCCTAATACATTCACTATTATCAGAAACAATTTTGTCTCCCCTCCCCCTCCGGACGGCAGAAATTTCCTCCGTGGGGTGAGTGTGGATCTTTTCTGGAACGACCCAATGTGATCCTATACACCTCAAACTTGCTTTTTGCTTGCTACGCTGGTTTAAGAAAATTACCTTCAATTTCTCAACAATCCATTGTAATGTAAGTGTAATATAAAAAATCAACTCTCCCATACCTCAATCAAAAATCTACTGATAGCTTCGAAGTAGCCCTTGCAATGCCAAGTATCATTATGAGTCCCACATTCAAACGATTCTAGTTTCTTAACAGCTGCAGAGCAGTTCTAGAAAGACAAGGTAACTTTTCAAGTGGCATTGCACCCTAATGATCCTATACCTTCATTTTACCTTAATGCCAGACAATTTTATTTGTTCAGGGGTAAACTAGTGTTCATCACAGTGATTCTTAGTCTCCTACGCAGCCTGTTCACAGGTCCGAGGTAAAACCTCGGACCTGCGAACAGACTGCGTAGGAAACTAAGTGATTCTAGCTAGGAATATATAATCTGAACATAGTGCCCCAAAATTTTACACCACCTCCTATGGGCTACTGCCCTGGGAGACCAATGCCTGTGGATCTATAGGTCAATTCCCACATTACATGTTACTTGTAATTAAATACAGTTTCTTTTATACCTCGTATAATTTATACATCATAGTAGGTGGTACAAGCTGGTCATTAGAACCAGACAAAAATAAAGATGGCGTTGTTATTCTCCGAATCTTGTTTAACGAATCAAACTACAATACATAAAAATAACAATGTAAGTTCTCTATACACATAAGGGAAAAGTTAAATAAAAACAATAAAATAATACAAGTAAAAATAACATGCCTCCCATCAAACAGAGTAAAATAATCGGACGTTTGACAGAGTAAACTGATAAAGTAGGGCACATTATGGCACAATGCAACTTAATAGTTAACCCATTGAACCGCAATGCGCCCCAGTGCACCCTACCGTACTTATTTTTTTTACTTGTCTTATGCCAGATGATTTTACTTGTCAATGGGGAAGCTCTTTAGGTACACTGCACACATATACAAGGAAGTAGCTTTATATACAAGTATAGCAATTATATACAATACCTGATTTCGAAAACAAAATATTGGGAGTCGGTTGAGACCGCCTATAAGTTGGTCAGCCATGTGAGGTATACTTGTGAACGTGTTTTCCACAACCATTGCAAAAGCCTTGTCAGCAAAATATTGCAAGGAAAGCAAGTCAATGGCAACAGCGCCGCCAAGAGATCGGCCATATATTATAATTTTGGTACTGTCGATGTCTTTGCGGCCCATTAAATAATCCATTGCGGCTTGAGCATCAAGAATTAGACCTACAATAGATAAATCAACAAATGAAGGGCCTG